TAAGACCTGGTGCCTCTTTTGGAGGGAAAAAAATAAGACCCAGTCTTATTTTCGGGAAAACATGGTAGTACGTGGTTTGGGCATGTCTTCAGTCTGAGCAATAATATACAGTCTTCAACACCAAACAATGCAGCCCTGGGAGATGAAAGAAGTCCTATCTACCTTTTTCATTGGTCAGCTGATCAGCATTAGGTTTATGCTAGTTCTTGCTATCATTAATGTCAGAGAATCAAGCAATGATATTACTACTAGCAAGTTCATCAGGAGATCAACTGTCTGCAAAGGATCCTAGTATTAGTCCTTACTACTAGATGTAGCGTAAAAGTTTTGCAAGTTTAAGATGTGCATTTGAGTGAGTATGAAGACAGCATGTGCATGTGTATGTTATGTGCCATCCTATCTCTGATGCAGGATTCTGTGTAGCTCTGTGCCTTTAATTACTGCCTGTAGATTTCTAGGTATATAACTTGACTAACTTTGGGTTAGGCATCATATCTATTCCACAGAAAAAGGCAAGTTACCGATCCTGTTTCTGAAAGTAGAAATATTATGTTACATAAAGCAAGAGTTCCAAATAATCTGTAAAACCTTTTGGAACTTCAACAGAGTCTATAATACTGGAGACAGTTATGCCAAAACCAATCCTTTGGCATCACAAATTGTTTTGACAGAGTTAAAGGAGGCATTGGACCTGCAGGTCTAGCACAAATTTCAACGCCAGATAATAATTTTAGAATAGCTTCAAGGCCTTTTGAAGGAAAACTCATAAGCTTACATCTTGTTTCATTCTTTTAAAAAAATCTGTTTATTTCTTATGCCTTATAAAAATGTATATATTTTTGTTGGCTACACAAGAAGATATATCACCAGGAAAATTGTTAGTGACATTATGACACAAGCTAGATATAATGTTTGGAACATTTTGGTTTCTGTCTATAGGTTTGATCCTTATTTCTCTGAATAAGAGGTCAAGTGCTCCATTGGATCTGGGAAAAGAGCAACTCTTCAAAATATAAATAAATCAAAACCAATTGATTTTCTGTAATATATGCTTAGTAATAGTTGCCAAGTGGTTACACTGAAATAGTTGACATTACTGTCCACCTTTGTAGTTTATGAACTTAATTTGAATCTTCATGATATGATTTTACTGCTATTAGCATTATTTTTAACCATTCTTAATCTTTCCAAGCCATTATAAAGTAGACATGCCTAGAATCATGGAAATATTGCAAATAAGGGGAATAAATCCAACTATATTGGATTTTGACCTTTCAGTGTAAAAATAAAATACACATAGTTCGTATAATGTATTAGTTTCTTAAACATCTTGAGTACAATTAAACAAAAGTTTGTTTCCTTCCAGAAAACAGGCTTCATTGTTTTTCAAACCAAACTCTTTTTTTTTCTTAAAAAGGAATTCCATATGGTATAATGAATTTTAACTTCAAGAATGCTTACTTATAACCCAAAGTCAGGGTTTTGTTGAGCTTCTTTACTCAGGTGGCTGGTTTCATGCAACATACATTATGCATTATGGTTTGCAAACTGTAATAGTTGAATTGCTACAATATGCAAAGCCATGATGATGGCCTGATTTGTGGAACTAAGCATGATTGAAAGGTTGTTTTTAATCGTGTGTTCTTTCTGCTTTGCAATGCTATTTGGAAACAAGCACATGTGCAGAAATAAGAGTGGTGGATTCTGTTAACTGGAGAGATTCTTAACATTGGATTTTTAGTTCTTTAGAAGCTTTTTCAGACTGGAGGTTAAGCGTAACAAGTGAAAATAGAATATGCTATTGGTAACTCCCAGTTTACAATAGCAAGCTCCTGAACTAAATTGTATATTTTAACTTAATTTATTACACAGACATGGGCAACCACTTTCCTTACAGATACAGGCAACTCGGTAGTCTCCAGATGTTTTGAAATACAATATCCCTTGTTTCTTTCAATTTGGCATAGGCAAACATAAATGAATTATAATCTGAAACTTCAAGAAAATATCAAGCTGCTTTTTCTGCAGATTTCTGAAACCCTTTTTTTTCCCAAGCCCAATGATGTGTTTTCCATTATCATTTTAAGAAACCACTGCCTACCCAACCTCATTTCTTGGCATGCTTCCAAAACAGATCACCAAATTTGGTGCCCTCAAAGCAATTGAGATGCTTTGATGAGAGCTTGGAGGAAAGAGTAGCTGTAAAAGAAGAAGCAGGAAAAGCAAAGGATCCTGTCTCTCTCTCTTTTTTTCAACTTGCCAGTTCCTTCCTTTCGTGCAGAAAAAGTGCCAAGAGGAGAGAAGAGGAATGCCAAGCAGTGGAGGTTACAGGTAGGAATAGCAACCTACTGGAAAATTTTCCAGAACGTACTATTCCTACTTGAGCCTCAAAAGAAAGAAAATATGACTTTGTTAAAGACTTTCTGTTCCCTCTGGGAGCCAAAGCAGAATTGGCCTGGAAGCACAGAGCCCTCTGGCCAAATGGAAGGAAACAATCCTGCAGTTTGCCAAATGGAGCTCTGTAGATGACCAACTTCAATCAGGTTCTTCCTTGTGGATCCGAACATTCACATAGGAAGCTGCATTGATTTTTCAACGGAAAAATATCACAGGCACTGAGAGAAAGACCCTATTACGGAGATTTGTCCTCAACATAGTTAGCAAGCTTTCACTGTGCTGAGGAAAGACAAGTGTGTGGATAAGGCTCAGAAAATGGACAGAATTGACTGAATAAACCACCATGGGACTAACAGTGAAGAGTTTTGCAAATAGGTTCCAGAAGCAAGCGAATAGGAGTTCTTCTGAATGGCCTACAAGTTATCTTGCTTCTCTCCACGGCTAGTAACTAGGTTTGTGCATTCATTAAAGAAAAGCCTTCTTTAAAATAACATCTTATTTCTGTTCAGTCTTTTGGAACTGCCATACATTTGGGCTTATTTCAATTTCACTCTTGCCTGTGATGCAACAAATTGATTTTTCTTTACATCTTTTTGGCCATAAGTGCCTTTTAAGTTAGTGCTTCGCAGGAGAGGAAGATTCAGGTAGAAAATAAGGCAGAAAATCAAGCATTTTAGAATGTGTTACATTTATTATTGTTTTACCATCATCTGTTTTGCTGAGAACTAACTGTAAGGCCCAAGTAAGTTAACAAAGGAAAGCAAAATTTGAAAGTTGGTTGTCCTATACCTATGCCTTTTTTCAGATCTCTTTCTATGCTCAAATTTGAAGATAAAAGGAAGGAAGAAAAGAAAAAAGGAAATCAGGCTTTTAATTTGTAATTTCCTGGAGATCAGTTTTCATGTGGAAAGGTGGGACATTGTTGTAAGGGGAAAAAAAACCCTTCTCTTACTTCTCGTTTTAATAACCTTCATGAGCCCTACCTACTGCAAACCATACACCATCCTTTTTTTTTCAATCTACATCAAATTATACAACTTCTCTAGATAGATTTTATCCTAATAAAATGATATGCTAAGCTCAGAAGAGTTTTCCCCATCCTGGGGTCTGTAGAAGCTTTAGACTCCAGCTTGTGTGGCCCAGCTGTCTAAAATGAAGGAAGTCATAACTAAAAATAATGCTTATAATTTATTAAACTACTTTCATTACTGTTACCCCATTACTCTTTCCCAATCTTCTTCCAGTAAGTTTGCAAGAGTTTTGCAGTCTTCCTCCAGCAAGAGTTTGCACAGTAAAATGTGCTTTCCAACAGCGGAGAATATTTGTAGCTCAGGGTTGAAATGAAAAGTCCTTGGTAGTGTCTTGAGCTTGATTGTTCTCTTGCAGACGTTTCATCATGATGTTACCTAGTTTGGGTAATCAAATATCTGCAAGAAATCAACCAAGTCAGAGAGCACCAAGGACCTCTCAAAATCAACTCCATGTTGATCAATCAGCCACAATTAGCTGGGATCACCAAATTTGTTAAGTGTGTTAACCCAAAACACCTCACTGTTGTTGTTGCTGTATGAACACTAATGAATCAGTATGGCAAATGGAAACGTGATGGGCTAGTTGGTGGCTCAGCATTTTCTGCAAATCCAGGTAATTCAATGAACTGTGATTCAGTTAACTGTTAACTGTTCAGGTTGCTCTACTGTGAGAAGATCACTACTCTTTTGTTATCTAGATCTATCGGACTAGATCTGGAGATATGAGCTTGGGAAAAGCTGTCTTGCCTTTTTCATCTGCTGGATTTCTAAACTTTGTTCGCTGAATCTCTTTCTGGCCTTGGATTATTTGTTTCTCCACGGTGGCTATTCTGGTGGGTCCCTCATATTCTCTAGGAAAGAAGAGTCACTACCACCTCTCGGCAAGCAAAGACGCAGCCAGAACAGAACAGAAAAGCCAGGAGGAAAAACAACAACCCCACAACCTTTCTAATGGAAAAGGAGTTGCATTAAGCCTATTAACATCCGCCAAATGATGACCATCAATTTTTAATCAGAAAGATGGAAAGCCAGCCTCAGAAGCAAGTAAATTTAAATAACGCTCACAGGGAAATCCAATCACTTAAGCAGAGGCACTCAACCCGAGCGAAGGGGAGCGAGCGTTGACGAGAGGAGAAGACGACAGCTGTATTAATAATAAAGATTAAAGCGCTGCAAAAGACCAAGCGGATCGGCCCCGTTAACCCCTTGTCCGGCTGCGCAGACATCCGCGCGCAACATGTCCGCGTTTCGCGCCTCGCCGCCCGTCCTTGCGAGCAAGCCCTGCTCAGCCTCGCCGCGTCCGAGATCTCGGCTGAGGGAGTAAAGGCGATCCTGCCTGAAGGCGAGGAAGTGGGGGGGGGGAGGTTGGAGGGGTTCCTTTCGCAGCTGCCAAAGCACCCCACCCCCTCCTTTCCCCAGGCTTGGAGTTGCACGCCCGGGAGGCGAGTTTGCGAAGAAGCCGGAGGGGAAGCGAGCGCGGAGGCGACGGGCCATGCTGGCGGGCCGGAGCGAGCGCCGCTCTCCTCCTCCTCTTCCTCCTCTTCCTCCTCCTCTTCCCTGAGGAGGGGGGAGATGACGGGTGGCAGCCTCCCCCCGGGGTTGCTGGCGCTGGGCGCCGTTTTGCTGTGGCAGCCGTGCCAAGGCAGCTGCGGCCAGGAGAAATGCGGCGCGCAGGAGAGCTGCTGCAGCTACGGCAACGCCAGCTACGCGGAGACCAAGTGCTGCAAGCTGCCTTTCCACACGTTCCTGGACAACGTGGGTTGGTTCGTGCGGAAGCTCTCCGGGCTGCTCATCTTGCTGGTGCTCTTCGCCATCGGCTATTTCCTGCAGCGGATCATCTGCCCCAGCCCCCGCAGGCACGGGCGGCGGCGGCGGCGGCGGCGGCACCCGGGGCAACGGGGCGAGGAGGAAGAAGAGGAGGAAGAGGAGGAGGAGGAGGAGGCGGATTACGACGATGACGACGCGGAAGAGCGGGAGTCGTTTTCCCGCGTTACCCCGCTGAACGGGACGGCCGCCACCTCGCAGGACTCCCTGCTGGAGAGCGGGGGGCGGGAGTCCTCCCTGCCGCCCCCTCTCCTGCACGTCGTCTCGCCCGTCTTTTTGCAGCTGCCCAGCTACGAAGAGGTGAAATATCTGCCCACTTACGAGGAATCCATGCGGCCCCAGCAGCCCCTGGTCCTGCCCGTCACCAGCTTGGCCACCGGGACGGGCAGGGGCCCTGCGGAACCGGATCGCTGGACCAGAGGCAGCTGAAGAGCCTCCGCGCCTTTTTCCCCGCGCCCCGCAGCTGCCGGGTGCAGCAAAAACCGAAGAAGCTGCGCCGTCGGTGGGGCCAAAGATCCTGCGCCGAAGCCCCTCTTTCTATTGGGAGGGGGGGTTTAGGGAGGGTCAGTGGAAATAGCACGGAAGGGAAAAGGGGGGGGGTGACTGGAGGGTCTGCCTTGGTCCTCCTTTTTGCCCCCTTTTTGGGAAGTTGCACGCCTGAGAGAAGCTCCTTGGTAGCAAAGTCGGATTCTGCCTCTGCCTGTGAAACACCGCCAGCCTTTCGCATTTGACGTGCCTGATGGTAGTAACAGGCATCTTTTAAGTGCCAGTCTAAATGTGTGACATGCATTCAAATTGGAGACATTCACAAGTACGAGCTAGATTTGTTTTTTTAATAGTTGTTCCCTGTATGGTGTGAATGCGCTCTGTACCTTCCTAATACAAAATAAAATCCTGGAAGGGAAGAGTATGATTCTTTTACTCAGAGTAAATCCAGATCATGTTGGTTTAAATTTCTCTTTTCCTGAAATTTGCTTTATGCACATCAACAAGCAACTCGGAGAAATTTGCTTATGCAAAATCAGCAACATTACTGGATGTGAGGTGGGAGCATGAAGAGAAAGACACAAAATCCCTTCTGGTGGTTGGTTTTTTTTTTTTTTTAAGTACAGTACTTTGACATTACTAAGTTCAGAAAGATTTGGGGACTTTTGAGAATGTGATGAATGGGAATTCATTAAAAAGCTTTTTTAATAACAAAAAGCAGTCATTTGTCTTTTTTTGGTAGATGAACATTATTAAAAGTTCATTTTATAGCCTTCAAATATTCATGACTATCAGCCATCCTGATATAACACCGTAGAACAATAGGAATGCAAGTTTTATTTGAGGGAGAGCCATAGTTAACTTTTTATTCATTTAGTTGCCTTTTTGGCCACTGCATTTTTTTGGTTCTGTATAGGGACTCCTTGATAGACAGAACTAGTAATTGGCAGTCGCCCATTTCTAGCTCACTAGGATACCCCAATTATCACTATCTTCTCCTTGGCCACCAAAGTGAAATACAGAGATAAAACTTTACTGGGCAATTGCAAGCATTGCTGAGATAATATTTGATAAGTACTTTGACCACTTGATGTGCACTAAATTATTGAAAAGTATTAAGATTAGAGAAGTGAACTTTGGTTAATAAACCATTTGCTTTTCCTCCTCTCACTTCTGTTCTACACCTGATCAACAGTATCCATCAGGCTTATGATGGCCACTTGGAAAGCAGTGATGGTACTTTCTAGAGTTAGGCATGTTTTATAATGCTGGAGATGGTAACTTTAATTCAGGATAATGTCATGCAAAATAAGAAATCTTGGGGGTGTTGACAGTCTGTAATAGGGGAGAGTATGTAAGAGAGAGCAAGCAAGCATAAGCCACAGTTCTAAATAGTTCCACTATGACAGGAGTGTCAAACTTGCAACATCACATGACGTGTCGTGACGTATCGTGACTTTTTTTCCATTGCTGGCAATGGGGTGGGCGCGGTTTCGCTCCGCGGACCAGCAGTTTGACACCCTTGCACTATGAGAATTGCCTCCTAAACACAACCCCATTTACATTAATTAGTTGAATTTAGAGTTGTGTGCTTTAGTTGAAGGGCACCTCAGTTATCTCAATGTGACTTACTTTCAAATAAAGGTACAGAGGATTGGCTAAACCTGACATCTGTAGGAACCAGCTGTTGCTGAAGCCCAAGCTGTTGGTAGCATCATAAGAGAGAATTAATAGTTATGCTTAAAACAATAGCAAAAGCTCACATCATACCTAAGTCAGAACATTCATCCAATGTATTTTGAAGAAAACTTATTGGAACTATCAGAATTACAGAAGAAACTTCTTATCTGGGTATTCAGGTAAGTGGGAGCTCTAGTTTCTGCACACTTAAAAATTGGTGGAGGAAGATAAAGAACAGTGCAGCTACTGTGACTACAGGCCTCTCAATTGGCTTGTTTGTAATTGTGAATTTTTGCCATTAATATATTATGCAATTGATTTTGCTACACAGTAATACAAAATTGTTTTACTAAGTGCTTAACTGCTGCTTGAAATGCTTAGCATTTAGGAATATCACAATTGTTACCGAGAAAATAACAGTACTTAGTGCTTTCTCTACTTACTAATTCTCCACTTCAAATTGTTCTCTCATAGTTCGGTTTTTATGGCATAATACAGAGCATCTGCAAGTAGTATGTGTTTGGACTTTGATTCTTAACTGCTTCCTTCTATCTTTGAACAAGTTAAACATTAGTTTCATATTACAGAGAAGGCAAAATACAAACTGACAAATATTTGGAAAGCTAGCATTAATGAGAAGAAAACTATTTTTTTCATCCAGCATTCCAAAATACTGTTAAGTGCTAATTTGAGGCATGTATGAATAGGATGAGTTTCACAAACAACCTAATTAATGACACTTTGATTCTACTTATTTATTTAAATGGGATATCCCATAGAGCAAAGGAAGGGCTGGTTATGGTCTTCTACAGTACATGGCAGATAAACCCGCAATCAGTTGTTGCTTGGCATTTCGATAATGTGACAACACATTTTATATCCATAAGATGGGGATTCAAATTACATTACAGTGAATATAGATTATGTGTTTCCAGCATTATTTGGCCCATGGCTTCAGTAGTGTTGGAAATACAACGTTCTGAATCAGACAAAGCTAGAAAGGGTCCTAGGTCACATTCCAAGTGTGTTTTCAGTTTGTGTAGATTACTCACTAAAGTTCACACGTCGTCAAGACTCTTCTGGTCATGTAACATAGTATAAACTGAGAGTAGTATTGAAATCAGAAACTTTTACAACTGTAATTTGGACTAAACAGCCAAATGAAAGCAACCCAGAATTTCTGCAGGAGACTGTTCCTGATTTCTTAAAAGACTTCTAAGGAGACTGTGGCTTCTTAGAAGATTATTATTATTATTATTATTATTATTATTATTATTATTATTTTATTTAGTACATACCTATAACTATGTGTACCATTCCTAAATTCAGGGGAAGGCCCCCCCCGATATGGTTCAAAAAAGGGGCTTTCTACACGTAACATTTATTAAATCTCAGTTGTGATATCATGATCCCACCCTCCGTAAATAGCTTTGCTACTTTTAAAAAGTAGTATTGTATATACTCATCCATCCGCAGGGAAGCCAATCCTTGAATTTGTTTTTATTGTTTTAATGTTTGCTATTGGTTTATCTGTATATGGCACATTTTTATGGTATTTTGGTTAAAAAGTTTGAGAATACTTTTTTAAAAGCTGAGGGAAAGATCTACTGTATATCCGTGCAGATAAGCCCATCTGTGGATTAGCCAAATCCAATTTTTGGCACCTAAAATCTTTGGTTTATCCAGTAATCTTTGTTATGATGGTGGTTTTCAACAAGGGCATTCATGCTTTAAATTAGTCATACCCCAGCCATTGAAATCTTAAAACATTTTAAGGGATCAGTATCTCAGTATTTTTTTAATTAAAGATCTAATATCTGAAAAACATGCTTGCATGGCATGCTGAATCATAACTAGCCAACCATACTTTACTCTTACATGTTTAAACCTAACCAATGTATCTAGCTAAAGTTTCAATGATTCATGATAAACTGGAAAACTGGTTTGAAAAAAACCCCACAATTAACTAAGGCTTCATATGCTATTGGGATTTAGCCTTCAAAATCAAACACTAGAGAAACTGATGTCCCAAGAAATTGTAGCGATATTTTCTAGTCCCACTTAAGGTAGTTCATGTACAATTTAATACTTAAGATCATTAAATAACAAGACAGTGGATGACTCTGCGGAAGTGCTGATCTTGATATGTTCTTATGTTAAACAATACAGGAGGAAACTGGTGCCTATTTAATTAAACAATGAATTTGTTTAATTAATTTGTTTTAATTAATTTGTTTGCCACTAATGAATTTTTAGGTTTTTCATGACAAATAAAAAACTATTCATGGCCTCACAAAAACTGCTCATTACAATTGCCCCAAATCAGATAGATACATTGCCAATAACCAGCTTGCTTACTTTGGCAGTGTCCTGGTCTATCAATCTGAGATCTGGGGCTTGACTTTCAACTTGAAGCCATAAGTAATATGTGAAAAGTTAAGGATGAGACAATGAAAGCCTTTATTGTGTCTTTAGAACCACTTTTATCTGTCTAAAGGTAAAAAACAATAGTATTAACAAATATGAAGTTTGTGTGATTAAAACATCTCCTTTGTACTAAAAAGAAACATTCTGGTTTAGCACCTTTTAAGAAGTGGTAAACTGGGCGTTCTTTGGAGTCATAGCTGTTCTTTATCTTTAATGCTGAAAATATTCTCTGTAATGTTTCCTTAGGGTAAACCCACTTAATAGTTAATGAGTGTTTTCTGGAAAAATATAAATGGCCATTCACTGCCATTCAGTTGCCTTTTTTCTCCACTGCAATCTTAGCAGGTACTTCCTTGGTTGTGGTTAGATAGAGCAATACATTATTGTTTCTAGAGCCTGAGTCCCATTTTCCTCATGCTGATTGTTTGCACTTATTAGATGAAAACATTTTAGAAGGCTATATGTTTTAAAAATGCAGGGATATGCTAGCATTTGGGCATATATTCATTACTCATTGTAAAAATGCATACAGAAGAAAGTTGAAATGGTGTCCTTGTTACTTTCTTGTGATTAAAATGCATTCTTCTCTTTGGAAAAGAAAACGTCTTCTAATCATACATTAGAATAGGATAGGATAGGATAGGATAGGATAGGATAGGATAGGATAGGATAGGATAGGATAGGACAGGACAGGACAGGACAGGACAGAATAGAATACTTTATTGGCCAGGTGTGACTGGACACACAAGGAATTTGTCTCCGGTGCATAAGCGCTCAGTGTACCTACCAGCAACAAGTGATAAATCATGATCATAATCATCATAAAAATACATTCA